AAAAGGCAAGCGCCAAGTGGGAGACGGGGGTATGTCCCTTGCCGACCCCCTTCGCCATCCTGGAAAGATGCCTAGGTTTGGTTTCCCGATGTCACGACCCCCGTCTCTCTCCCCTTGGCAAAGACGAGAATTAGTGTGTTCCACTAACACCATTTGCCGGTATGAGGCATGAAGAAACCAAAAACGGCATCTAGACTCGAACCTGGGTCGCATTCAAGGGCCTCCTAGGGACGCAGAGTGGGATGGGTGGTGGATAGGGGGCATGGGCCACTACGGCCCCTTGCTGCTTTGTCTCCATGTTGATGTGATACAGGGGGTGGGCAGCTCGTACTGGACGTTACCTGCGGGGCCGGGGGGACCGGGCGAGGTTTCGCTCCCTATTAGGGCAATGGCCGTGTCGGAGGTTTTCCCTTGGCGCTTGGGTCCTTTTTTGGGGGGGTGTTTGGGTTTAGTGTTAGTGGCTGCTAGGGCGAGTGAGTATTGAGGGAAAGGGAGGACGGAGGCCGGCGCCAGGGCCTTTTTTTCTGGCCCCGCTAAGGAATTTCTTTGTCTCAAGTCCGGGGTCTACTTGTTCGGAGGAGTGGGCTTTTCTTCACTGCTTTCTGGGGTGTGGCTGGCGCTCACTCCGGCTCCGGCTTTGCAGTCGGCTCGGACTTCAAACTGTTCGAGATCGTCGGGCGCTCCTTTGTCACTTCGTAGTACAAAATCAATTGAAGATTCTTCCGCCCAGCAGACACGCACAACAGTTACCAGGACCAAAAAGGGGCGATCGGCTAGAGATCCAGTTATCTGATCGGCATGCCGCAGGTACGAACGAGCATTCCGCCCTGAGTGAGCCGAGATGCAGCCCTTCCTTCAAAGCTGGGAATACCTGGTGGTTGTCCCCCCCCCCCCCCCCCCGTCGGGCTCGGATCCCTTCCTTGCACTCTGTCCCTGTAATATTCGTCTTGTCGGGGTGGATCGCCAGACGCTCTGCGGATCCCAAACGCGTTTCACTGCCCCCCCAGCATGACCGGCGCCGGGTTGTCGGATGAAACCGGCGCCAAGCCAATCCCCCTGGCCAGGCAGGTCAGTGAGGACTTTTGATCGAGCGGGAAGGACTGAATGTCAACGCGGATCACAGGCTCATCGTCGAAAACCCGGTATTCATTTTCGGGAATAGAGACCACCAAGGAGGGAGGAGGCAGAGCAATCGAACTTTCCCACTTAGTCGGTGAGATGGGATGTCTCCAGGAGCTTTTTCTTCGCGCTACTCGCGGAGACACTCCACATTGGTCCCCGTTCTCTAACGGCCTACCAGAAGCCAAGTCGCGCCAAGAGGCTAGGGAGCGTCAGTCACTCCCTTTGCGGCGAAAGGATTCAGGCGCCTCCCTTTCGCTCCAGGCGCCCCAGCTCCCACCGGAATAGCCAAGCTTTGTATAACAGAACAAGTAATAAACCACGACTCTCACAATCTCCACGAGCCGAGCAATCCCACGAGAACTCTCCCAGGAGAGAGAGAATGCAAGGGCAATCTTCAATCTGCACTCTTCCCCGCCAAGATCGCTGGCCCCCCTCCCTCTCCTTGCCGTTAGCCGTAATAGCTTGACTAACTGATTCACCATAAATAGTCCGACCACCCCCCGTAGCCCTACGGTGAGACGTCAAGTGTCGCATCCACCTCGCTAAACAACCCCGCGCCCCAAGTCTCCTCGCCGCACCCCTTTTTCTCGCTTTAATCGCAAGTAAGGACCCAAGCATCATAAAATCCTCATTATTACCCACGCGACATGCTTCACTTGGCCTGGGCTAGGCGTTGTCCCCCTTTTGGGCGTGGTGATTTCAGATCTGCATGGGGGGGCCATGATTCTTATCTCCCTTCCTGGACCTCGGAGGCGGTGCTTCAGGATGACCACTAGGTCTTAGCGTCCTGAGGCACTACTATTCCTTCGGCGATGGCTGGCATTCAAGATGAGACGAGGGCAGGCTGAGACGAGGTTCGAATCCTGGGGATGCTTGTGGTGATCCCTTCTTTTTGTTCCATCCATTCCTCGGCCGAGAAAACAAAAGGTCCTTTTTGTCCGGCCTGGCAGGGGCCGCAAACAAGCGAGGGTATAATAATCTCCGTAGACAAAACAAAACGCTCGTATCCACCCTTGCTCCAGCCCCTAGCCCCTTTCTAAAGCCCTTTTTGCTTATTTCCAGCACTATCGGAGCCCAACAATTGTAGTAATACAGGTATATACAGCAGAAGAAGAAGAAGAACAAACAAAGACCGCCATGATCTACGCAAATGCTTCGCTAAACTCCGTGCCCTTTCGGAATTCGAAAATGCTCCTCCCCTGTCATCTCCTGAGGACGATTTAGACCGTGGTCTCGTCCCATCAATCCGAACTAAATGACCCATTATCCCATCTCCCTTTTTTTTTTCTCCGGAGGAGCCCCATCGTACTAACCACCCTGCCGCAGGGGGAGATAGAGTTTGTTTGACACGACGCTATCCCCGGGACAAGTAGACCCGTGCAACTCAAGTCCACCGCACTGGCGACCCTGTGAGAAGGGGGATCGGTCTAGACCCCCGTTCTAAGCCGGAACCGTGCAAGCGAGCCCCACCGTAGTAGCTACCCTCCGCGAGGTGGGATGGGGGGCTCGCGGTTGGCACGAGGTCCGCCCCTGTGCCACATTGAATCCTACAGTTCAGCCCCCGGCGGTGGTACCGAGAGCTACCCTCCGGAACAAGGCTAGGGTTTCTGGTTGCCACGGAGCCATCCCGTGCTCAGAAAACTCGTGCAACCTCGCTTACCTAGCTGCAACTCTCAGTCGAAAAAGCCGGGAGGAGGGGCCGTGCTGTAATGGTGAACGGCCCCTTGTTGTTGTCAGACGGGGATCTCGCTCTGCCATCCACCGAATTGGAGGACATCCCCTAATGGATCGTATACGCCTCCTGCTGCGGCCTTTCTCTCCTCTCGCGCAGCACCTCAGACGCCGCCCTGCCGCACAGGAATCCGCTCGCAACCCTGGGCCGAGTTAGTACACACAGACCAGAACCAACAGAAACTCTAGGCGCGAGGAAAAGAGAGAGAGAAGGGGGAGTCCTTACATCTGCATCCCCAATAACCATCCCAGCGACTGCGTATACGCCAGAGACATGCCGCGCCCGCCATCCCACGACTCGTAGTTCCCCTGACGACACAAGATGACCACCATCAAGACAAAGCAGACCACCGCGCCGGCCGTGAGCACCGACTCCACGGCGAGCTGCAGCTCCTGCGAGAACGGTCGGCCCCGATACGCGCTGCGGCGGTGGTCCACTATCACGGCGAAGGACCATATTATGTTGGCGGCGGACTAAGGGGCAGGGCAGGGTTAGTTGGTCTCTCGTTCCCACCCCAACACCTGCACGAATCCAAATCCACGTATACACATTATAGATAAACGCCCAGACGGACGCGACGAAAAATAAAAACACCAAGGAGATGGGCGGGAGAGAGAGGGGGGCGGGGGCGGGGACTCACCAGCGGAATGGCCAGGTACAGCGGTATCCACGAGCTATCCCCCGCAGGCGGCGTACCCCGGGGGTACCGCGCACCATGCGCGTATGCATACGCCGTCATGATGACTAGTATGATGGGTATCACGAGCGAGAACTGTCGTACGACGGAGTACAGGAACCAGCACCTCCTCCCCGACCCGGAGCCGCGCCCCCGGCCGCCGCTGAAGACCCAGCTGTGCGGCTGCCGGCCGGGGAAGTCCGACGAGGAGTCCTGGGACGCGCCGTACCATTGTTGATGCTGGTAGTGCGCGCCGTAGCCCCCCCTGTTGGGATCCGCCATCGGGGCGGAGGGTGGGCAGGGCCGGCGTCTTGTCTAGAAGCGTAGCGTGTCGAACGGAAGAGCCCGTAGCTCCGTGTACGAGGATAATCGGAGAAATCGATCCGTCGTGAAATAATAGAGGGTCGCCGCCGAAGGGTAGGAGGGGATCGCACTCGAGCAGTAGCGGAATCGTTCTCGAAAGATAGGAGGGGCTCGCGGCTCGAACGGCGAGGCCTTATTCGCGAAGAGTAGGGATGGTTCGCGATCGAATAGCTGGGGTGTAAGGTATGTCGTGCTTGAAGTTGAAGCTCAGAAAACGGCCAGAAGCAAAAAAGACTGGATCACCCGCTCGAGCCAACAGTAGAAGGATTCCCAGTGAATACCCGAGGATATCCGTAATATGATTGAACAGGCTACCCAACAGGTCCCCCGCGATAATATCAGATCGCCTGCAGGATTTCCCACAGGATCTGATCCTCGATCTGCGCCACGCGTCGATCGCAAAGTGGGGGAGGCGTTGGGGGAGGCGTTGGCCGTACTGGTACTCGTACTTACTCGCACTTGCCTCCTGTACTTCGTCCGTCGCACACGTACTCGTTACTTCGACACGCGCAAACCCGGGTTTTGTAGGAGCGTCACGTGACTGATCTGCCAAAAACAGGTGCTCGGGCCGAGGAATCAGTTGGACGAAATTGCCTGAAAGGAAGTATTGAAATTGGTGGTGAAATAAAGACGGCTGTGATGGGTTGAGCTGTGTGGAAAGGCATGCTACTCTCTCTGCTGAACGGCTTGGTGGTTGGTTTGGCTCCTGCGAGAAGAGAGGAATACAAGAATCAGGGAGACAGTAGTGAGGCCTGGAAAAGGTAAAACGTAGGTGCCAAGAGACTTTTTGGATATTGCCTAAATCCAAAATGATACAGGGGCGCCGACCGAAATGTGAAAACGAACGGCGCCAAAAAAAAAAAAGGCGGATGATGGTGAGGTCAAGCCATGCACGAGCAAGACGTGTTCATTCAATAAGTCGATGCGATGGCGGATGCTGGCGCGGGCGTTTCGTTCCTGCATTCCACTCCGTCATTCCCCTGCGCCGTTTGCGGCCATTGCCAAATTCGCCTGCCTACCATTACAAGAATGCGTTTCGTCCGGCTCGCCCCAGGCACGACACCTCCTTAAGGCCCAGTGGCAGTCAAACACGCATCAAATCAGACAGCTCCGGTAGCACAATTGGTTAGTGCGTTGGACTTTTAAGGAAGACACGAAATATGGTCATCCAAGTCATCCAAAGGTTGCGGGTTCGACCCCCGCCTGGAGCGACATCTTTTTACCTCTTTTTGGTCTTTTTGGCCTCGTTCCTTATGACGTTTTTGACATACATTCCCCCCCCGCCTTCTATTAATAGTTTCGACTCGAGACAAGCTTCTCTTTTGGTACCCTTCTTCCCCTTCCTAACGCCCATCTGTAATACTCGTGGAGGTGGTTTGTTTGACCAACTACCTACCTACCCTCTCCAACATTCACTCTACAGCAGTTCTCCCTCTTGTTTCTGTTTCTCCGGTCCCTCGTTCTCTGGGCCGGCCGAGTCGGCTAATGTCACCCGATATTGCCGTCCTGAGCTTTAATATCGGTGCCGTGGGATGATGGATGGTGCTACGCCTCTTCATGCGAACGCTTGTTTTTAGCTCATGGGGCCGCGGGATGCTACCCAGCCTAATACGACCTTTCTTTCTTTTTTTCTTACTCCCGGTTTTTGCCTTGCTTTTTCTTCCGTCTGGTATCCTTCAGCCTGTCTGCCATCTGTTTCCTATTCCTGTCATGACGGGGTTTTCGGTCGCACTGGCTCAACTCCGCATTCACATTGTGTCGACCAAAAGTAGGGAGAAAAACGGGTGAAACATCTTTCGAGATCTTTTAATTAAGGTAGAAACAACATCATGCGCCTATAGGTAGATAGAAACCTTTAAAGAAACAATCACACTCAGCTCAGCTCTGTCTCCTACTCCCATTACTCTTTCACTGCCGCCCCGGCTTCCTACTATTACACCTACACGCCTTCTCTCCCCTCCTCCTCCTCCACATCCCCCCGCCTACCCGGGAAACCTACGCGCTCCACCTCTTCCCGATAGGCGAATCAGGCACGGCCGTTATCGTGACATGAGGCACGCTGGTGGGCGGCGGCGGCGGCGCCTGCGTGAAGATGGTGATGTACGTCGTCACGACCGTAGGCGTCGGCCCGGGCACGTCGAAGATGGTGGTGAGGATGCGCGTCTCCACGTTGGGATTGTCCAGGACCGGGACGCCACCGCGATCGTCTTCTTCCGGGATGCACTGGGAGTACCACTCGCTTTTTTTTCCGGGCGTGTTAGAATACTACTGTTCTTCTGGAGGAAGATAAGATGGGAAGGGGAAGGGAAGGAGGGGGGGGAGAGAGCTCACTTCTCGCCGTCGTTGTAGCAGTACGCGCCGGTAGGACACGCCGTCGCGTATTCCCAGTTCACTCCGCCGCCTGGAAATCCAAGTGGTTAGTCTTCATAGATCTTTTTTGTCCCATTTTCCCATTCCCCGGAGTCGGTTCTCTGGAGATGGAAATTTCCCCGACGGAGAGGTTCGTCCTCTGGTGTTGGGGGGAAGGGGCGAGGGAGGGTCGGTGGCACTTACACTGTCCCCAGATAGACTGCGTGGCGCCCCGCGGCGGCGGCGGCGGGGCCGGCGTGGTGGGCGCCGGCGCGGGCGTAGTATTCCCCCCACCATTGCAGCCCCCGAAGCGGCAGCGCTGTGCGGACACGCCGACAGCGGCGGCCAGGGCGAGGAGGGTGTTTGCGAAGATCATGGTTCCAGCGGGGTGAAGGAGAAAAAAAAGGGGAAGAAAGGAGCAAGAGTGTATTGTTTGGAGCGTGGAAATGGTCGGGAGAAGACTGAGAGAGAAGACTGAGAGAGCGTGTACCAAGTATGCAGACCGATAAGACCCAATAACGAGGACAGGAAACGAGAGGAGAAATTGGGGGATTGGGTTGGATGAGTTAAGGCACTTTCTTTTCCGAGCACAGCCGGGGTAGAGAGTCAGGTTTATATACACGAGAAGCGATATCCCAAGCTGACGGCGGAGAGAGGCATATCATCCCGTTGTCCATGTTACCATTATGAAAAGCCGGATGGTGTATCCGCGCCGTTCTCACGGTGATGACCTATCCCAACCTCATCCTCTCCCACCGGTTTCTCTCCCGCCCGTCTGTTTACCTGGCCGCTCCTCCCTCCCACACGGCAGCGTGCCTTACCCCTTATTAATTGCCTTCCCATCCCTCGGAGAATATCCTCACTGCGACGCGGCGTACATGCTGCTTCGGCCGATCCATAGCCGTCACGGTGCAATAAAGAGGAAGAGGAGGTGGTGAGGGGGTGGCCTAGGCGAGAACGGACTGGCCGGATGTACATGAAAAACGTCGAATATGGGCACTTACACATTACACGTCCATCTCGAGCTCGCTCACTTGGTGCCCCCATCCATTCCGACCTCCGGAACCAAGAATGGCCCTCAAGAACCTGCCCAGTCAAAGTTAATTCGTCATTCCCACTATCTCTTGAACATATTAACCTCCCCCCCTCCTAAGAAAAGTCCGATAAGTGCTTGCGGGTCCGCCGTCCCGGCCTTAATGTCCTGCCGCTGTTATTTTTACACACGCACAGGCCGGCTTTCACGATGGGGTAGTCCACCCCGTCGGTTCAGAGCGTAGAGTGTTTTTTTTATCCTCATGCCCAATAATGTTCCGTCTCCGTCGCTTCCTGTCGTCCTCCCCCCTCCCGGTTCGGTATCGCGCCACACAGGCACTCGTCCGGTCCGGCGGATAAATACCGTCTCTGTCCCGGCCACTTTCGAGACTTGGGTGATAGGTGAGATCATTGTCGGGAACCTGTTGGGCGGGACGTGTAGAAATATCCAGTCCGCGTCAACCTCAGCCGTAACCATCATATCAACTCGTATCTCGTGGTTCCAGACAACCATGAAGCGTCTGGTCGCCACCCGCGGACTTGACTGGGTCCGTATCTGGTCTACGTGCCTGGACCGTAAACCTCTCCCGGGCCAATGACACCCCCGATTTTTTAATTCTCACAGGCAACCCTGCATACCCGGTTCCTGGTTCCTGAATCTCATTCCCTATTGGGGACAGCAGATTCTTGGCTGGTCATGCCCCCTTATGGGGATTTCTCTCGAAACGGGGCCTCACCCCTCCGTTTCGGGGCGCTGTCCTGTTATTTGTTCTTGTCTCAACAGTGGGACGACCCGCATGGGCATTACAATACAGTTGTAGTGGAAAGCCTCGACTCATTGGTTGAGAGGGTAGTATGCTGGTGGCGGCGGAAGCGCCGCGACATGCGTTGTATTAATATGATGGACACCGTCCTGCATCCTGAACCTCAGCTTGGGGGGACCCGGCTCCATATTCCCCCGAAACCTCGTTCGTTTGCAGGCGATGGCCTCTCAAGCTGGCCAAGCTGAGAGAAGGTGCGTTCTTTAAAGGTGTGGGATGGAGAGCCGGGCCGGGAGCGCGATGGCTCCAGGCTTTCCTTCCCACCCCTAACACAAGTAAGGGTTGCCGCTTGGGACGCTCCTGATGAGCTTTCCACGGGTTAGAGGTATGAATTCCAATCTGATAGACGGATAATAGCCAAAGCCCGAATTAGATGAATGGCGAGACGACGAGGAGACATGGGCAATCCCGAGCCGTCCTGGAGCGTAGTCGCCACCATGAGGGCGGCCGGGCTCGTAAATTGTTTACCCACTTGCAAATAACGGAGCTGGTAATAGTAGTGTGGGTACTTATCTTTCGAGGATCATATTAGGTTGCTTCTGGGACCTGTGATAATGGCTGTGAGCAGGGCGATGACCGGCCTGTCTTTCGCCCTCTTTTCATCTGAGAGTGACTGATGCCTGACCAAAGAGTCATGGCAACCACCAAGATATCCGAACCGTAAGAGGTACCCCTAATTCTTCGTCCGACCTTATCCCTGTCTAATCACATATTGACTGGGGGCTCTCGCTAAGCTCTGGGAAGTGATGATTTGCCGGTACAAGGAGAAGGCGCGGAAATGTTTGCGTCCCAATGCCGTATCCAAGCTAACCGCTTCCCGGAAACCACGGCCGTGGGAATTCTAAACATAGACCAAAACTTTCCCGCCCGAGGACGAGGAGGGAGGGGCCAATATGATCCGGGACGAGGTTGCTCGTGGCCACCAATTCCGGGTTCAGGATCCTGCGAACCGAGGCAACCATTCACTGGGAAGACATTCGGCTGGGATACCCGCAAAACGCACCGGAGTTCAGACACTGTCTGCTATTTCTGGCCAGGCATCATCGGCTGCCTGGATACTGGATGGGGAGTCTCATCTAATTCTCCCAGCTATTCCCAGCGGAACCAACCCGGCCCTCTGGGCGGATCTCAGCGCATAGGAACTGGAGTACATTCATACTTGACACCTAAGAAAGGCCATTGGATACGCCCAAAGTGGGCTGGGATATAAATACATTCCACACTTAATCGCCTCTAATAGACTCATATCAGTCTCCGGGCCAATATAGGGCCGTCCATCCTCACCCGGCTCTCGACCCCGCGGGACCCGCCAACTCTCTACCGGCAAACTGCCGGACACCTCTTCAGGCTGTCCCAAAATGGTCTTTGTTTTTACTCATCACACCTGTCCTGGGGTTGGGGAACCTCTCTTGGCAGTATGGGATCAACGTGAGAAGACGCGGCGCGGGGTAGTACGTAGGCCGAGATAGGAAGTGCAGAGGGTTGCCGGATGAGATCTGGAGACGATCTTATCCAGTTTTGGGCGGGGGGTATTACGGTGTAAGCACACTCGTCGCGTGGGAAGAAGCGCGGTGAGTGGCTTCTTCGTGTCTTACAGAGGATCTACGGTCACTTCGATTCCCTCGTTGGGTGAATAGCCGCGAGCAATGAGGGAGAGCCAACGGTGGGGGAGGGGGCAGGGGGCCATGAAAAAAAAAATGCCGTGATGGGATTTAAAAGGTGGGAAATGTCCGCTTCTAGATATTATGGAAGGTCCGGTGTCAGCAGGGACGGGCGAACAAGCATGTACCGAACCCCCTTCCCTCCCCAAAGTATGGGTAAGAAACTGCGTTTCTATCTACGCCAGACCATACTCAGCAACAAGCTTCTCAGCACACGTCGCGCCCGTCACATACGCCACGGCCTGGACGTGGCAGCTCGGGAGGACCGGCACGACGCCCATGTCCGCCACGCGCAGGTTCTCGAACCCGACGACGCGGAAGTCGCTATCGACGACCGCGTCCGCTTCC